CCTGACGGGTTGTTACAAATAATAATTTTAATATTTTGGAGACTAAAAACACAAACTTTAAATTTTTTAAAAAAATTATTTAAATTTAAAGAACTAAAAATATAATTAAACTAAATAATGATTCGACAATATTTCCATTCAAGAACTTTTAGTTTTTTCGAGTGTTCCATTCAAGACCTTTTATATTTCATGTTTGAGTAAATATGATAATCAACCTTGCTAGCTACTACTTTTTTGGCCTTACAAATTGCTCCACCTTTTAAGTATGAAAGTAGGTTTTCTTTTTCTAGGCTCATTGATAACTCTACAAGAAAGAATCAGTATGATGTTGATGCTTGGAATATATTTTAAGTACTCAAATCCATTAGAAATTGATAAAGGTCGGGATTTGTTTTAATGTCGATTGAATTTAAAATCGAGTGCCTTTTTAAACAAATATATCATCAACAGTGTAGTATTTTTCTCTCTTTTATCACTCTATAAGAATATATTAAGGTTAAATCTCCATTATTCCTAATCTTGTATATAATTAATCCCTCAAGTCTAATCTTAATTTTCGTAGATTAGTTTGCAAAACATTTTTTTTGTTTATCTTAAAGGAAAAATAGTTGTGAGACTTGTAAACATTTTCCATACATTTTTGTTGCTCCTCTTCAAAATGACATATCCTTCGGATACATTGTGACAATATAAATGTCAACTAAGGCCTTTAAAAAATTGAAGATCACATTCAATTGATGGGCCCAAAAAAAACTGTCATGACCGATTGAATATAAAGCCCAAACGAAGACATATTAGGGAAGTAGCAATCTACAGAATCATATATAATTAGAGTTAATCACTTATACACTGTCAATGTAAAATTTTTTTATACTGGCAACCAATTATATCTTTTAATATTGTCATGTCATTTACTTATTTAATAAAATAAAAATAAAATAAAATTTATTAAAAAATATAATTGGTTGTCAATATAAAAAATTCTACACTGACAATATATAAATGATTAACTCATATAATTAATGTTTCATCAACGTGTGAAAACAATCCGGAAAATGACAAGGGATGATAGGTTTTGCAAACACAACATGTGAGTTACACGTGAATTTGATACTCAGTGATTTGACTATGTTTATATAAATTTTTCTACAAACACTTATAAAAATAAAATAATTTTTATATAAGTTAAAAATAAACTTTTGAAAAAGTTAATATAAGAGAATTGTAAATTGGTTTATATGCATAAAAAATAGTTTATAGAATATTTTATTTTATTTTTCTTTCTGATTTTTTTTCAATGCGTTGAGATATGTTTTTTTTTTTTTCACTACCTTTCCTCCCCTATTCTCACAAACACACACACAAAATATAAACTACAGACCAAAAAATAAAAGTATACAAAGAATTATTGACATCAATCATTGCCTTATTTCTATTTTGGTTTGAAGTGACACGATTATTATAGGAGATAACAATGACATGACCATATATATTAGAGTAGTGAATATGTATACCCTAGCTAATCCCAAAATAACTACTTATAATTGAACACTTTAGGGTAAATTTGTCCAAGCAGATTAGATCAGAATCTGAATTTAAACGAATAAAATTTATATGGAAATAACAATAGTTCTTGTGTATGTACTAATGCGTGAGGTAGGGACAATATACACACCATAAATAATGAGTTGGAATCATATCTTACTGTTTTAATAAAAAAATTGATGAATCCTAATAACACGAGTCAAGATGGCCGAGTTGGTCTAAGGCGCCAGTTTCAGGTACTGGTCCGAAAGGGCATGGGTTCGAATCCCATTCTTGACAAATTTTTAATTTTTTTTAATAATTTTTATTAAACTTTTTGATATTTCTCCTGTTAACTCGTGCCAACCTTGAAACATTTGAAATCAGGTTAGAACTATGCTTCCGTACAAACAGCATGCTGTACCTTGATAAGACTTGAGAGGTGTCTAAGGCTCTAGCCATAGCAATCAACAAACAGTTTACATCTGCAGTACATGGAATATCCTCATAGGACATATTATCTATAACAAAATGGTGGTGTATGAACTGAACTATTTTTAACATAATTTTTCTAACATTTTTTATTTTGGCTTTTTTTTTTGAAAAAATTATAAAATTATTATGAGTAGACTTCATTAAATAAAAAGTGTCATCTATAAAATTTTGTAATTTTAAACAAATATTAGTCAATAATAAGACATATTTAAAATAGTGTATTAGAAAATGTAGTGTTGGTATTTTTATTCTAATAAATGACTTAAAGAGAAAATAAAGAAAAATACAAGAATTGATTTTTTTTTGGACAACCATATAAGGAAAATGTTAAACACTCGATTTTTGGGGTGTCTCATGTATGAAGGAAAAGAGAAATAGAATGAAAGAATAAAGGAAGAGAAAGAAATTGAGAATTAATGTATCAAAATGATGTAATTGAAATGGATGAAAAAATGAAAGGAAAATGAGATAAAAGAAATTAGATGTATAAATATAATAACTTAGAAGATAAAAGAAAAAAAAAGTGCATGAATGTCAATACTAAGAAAAATAAAATTTGGACACTACAAATGCTAATCTACACTTAGACAGAGAAAAAAAATAGTAGAAGAAAAGACAAGTTTTTTTTTAATAACAAAAAAAATGAAAAGTTAATAAGTATGTATGATGTATTAGACGGATAAAGAAAAATGTGAAGTGTCAATGAAATTTTTGAAATAATTATATGTTCAAATTTCATTATTGTAACTCATATTTATATAAGTATCAAACTATTTGGACAGTTCAAATGCTATCTCTTATGAAGTATCCAAGAGGCATCTTCAACTAAAATTTCCATTTATGAAGAAAAAAATTACAATATTAATTTTCTTTGCCTTTTATTTTTAGTTTTTTCACAAGTGTAAAAGTGAGAGAGGAGCAAATTAAAGCAAATTTATCTTTGTTTTTATCTAAATCTAAAATTGGTTAAAATTATTTGCTAACTCAATCAAGATCCGATATATCAAAACAAGACTAGATTAACCCAATCTTTTATTGTATTATATCAATCTTAACATTATTTATATATAGTTAAATCATAAAATAAAATAAGTATAAATATGTATATTTTATTTTATATATATATATATTTCAAAATTAATGAAATTAATATTAATATAATAATCATAATATTGTATTATATAGGATATTATCTATTAAATAATAATAATTATTAATATATATTTGTTAAAAAAAATATAAACATTTTTTCAAAAAAATATAAGACATCAGTGGTCGAGATAATTCAAAATATAATTTGATTTCGTCTTAAAAATATTATAGTTCTAATTTTTAAATCTTATATTTTAAAAAAGAAATCAACTTAGGATCGGGGGGTTAGGCTTGACTTGATCACCCTTACACTGTACAGTACAAAAATATACATTCACTTTTTTTTTTTTTTCTATTTGATTTCTACCATTCAAATCCACCCAAAATGATAGACGTTGATGCTTTTCCTTTTCTCAATTGTATCAACAATGACTAATTAATTTCTACACATGTATATATAATTTTTGACAACATTAAAACCTTGTACGTTACCATGTCCCGCGACCATAGTTTAAACCTTTGTATTTCTTTGAACTTGTGTACGTGGAAATTCCGTTGACACAACGTTTTCTACTGTTGCAATTCCAAGCCGCCGCGTTTCACAAAACCAAAAATGAGACAACACAACAAACAAAACACTTTGTATTGTAAAGAGAAAGAAGAAAACAAGTGCTACCAAATCTTTGTGGCTCCTACATAGTGAAGGCCACGTACGTTTGCTTAAAAAAAAAAAATAAAAAAAAAAAAAAAAGGGCCCCCCTTTCCATCACCTTGTGGCTCCTACATAGTGAAGGCCACGTACGTTTGCTTAAAAAAAAAAAATAAAAAAAAAAAAACAGGGCTCCACTTTCACATGCCTACCTAGCTAGATGCTGTGTTATCCAATTCCCACTTTTTCCTCTCTGACTTTGATGGCTTCAGGGACTTCAATGCTAGCCCCTGATTATTTCACCATCAACCCACCAAAATATTATTCCCTCTCTCTCTCTCTCTAGATATTATATTTGGAATGTTCATTTTCATCAAAGGGCACTAAACATTGTTTGTATTTGGTTATTGCTTATGCCCCTACTTTAATTCTTCTGCCTTTTGCGTCCATCTACTCACTTCTGTGTTTCATGCCATCCCTCTCTTGCTCTTTGAACTTTAACTTACAAACAAGTGGAATCATATGCTACATCGAAACACAAAAGAAAAAGCTAGAAAGAAAGAAAGCTTGGCTAGCAGATAAAACAATTTCTTTATGTTTTAAGTGACATGCCAATATACCCTCTCTTTTTTTAACTCATGGACCGCGTTCAACAGAATGCAATTCCAATTCATGATTTGAAGATAGAATTGGACAAAGAATATGAAAAATGACGCAGCTCTTTCTGGGGTGGTTGCTGGTGTTTCTGTTCCTCTATGGTTTCTTATTTTCACTTTTTTCCCCTGAAAATTTTAGTTTTCACTTACCTTCAATATTATATATGCTTAGCCAAACCAATAATACTACCTGAAATTAAACAAATGATAATAATTTTTATCTTTTAACTAAATTTTTTAAAATTTGAAATTTGATATGGAATATAAATAAATTGTGTTTAGGAGTGAATATTCATTTTAAGTTTACGAATCTTGACAAAAATTAATCACAACGATAGATAATTCGTCCAATGCCATGGTTAAAAAAAAAAAAAAAAAGAGTAGGCCATGGAGATGAATTTCATCATTGAAGTTCATTAATCATATACAAGGTTTTAATTAGTGGTTATAATCAGAGTTTCGTTGAGATTGCAAACAAATGTGGTTAATGCTGTAAATATCTCAAATGTGGTTAAAACCTTGCATGATGATATATATATATATATAGAGAGAGTAAGAAAAAAGGGAATGAAAAGCATAATTAGTAGCAAAACATATGTATCAATAATTATAGTCTAATAAGCCGCAATCGTTTCATTATGAAAAACAAAAAATTCTCAGAAAGAAACAGTCATTTCAGTGATCACATTCCGTGCTCTCACAAAACCACTGGAATATGAAAAATGAAAAGGAAGAAAGGTGCTTATAGTGTATGTAGAGCAAAATTTTTTTGATCCCTTTAATTGGTTAAGGTACGGTATGGTCATTGTCTGAGGTTGATGAAGGGGTTGGTTGTGGTTGAGGTTGATCAGTTTCAGCCCCACAAGTGCAGTAAATTGATGAAGAAGTGATTGGTTTGGCAAGGTAAGTGGGTTTGTGTTCCCCAGCCATGATGACAAGAACCTCAGGCTCAGAGTTTATCTCTACGATCTTTGGCATTGCTTGTTTCATGTCGTCTTCAGCTTCAGATGATGATGACTGAGAAGAAGCACGTTTTCTGTAGGAGCAAACAAGGATCACCAATGCCACAGATATGAGAGCCAGCATTACTGCTAAGCCTCCAAACAAGTAAGGAATTGGTGACTTCCATATTTTGATCCCACTCGCACTGATTTCTGATGATGATACATTGTTTATTGGCCTCATAACTTCTCTCTCTCTTGACCCTTCTCTCTCTCTCTCTCTCGATGGCAGTGAAATGAAGTGAGGTGCTGCTTCTGAAATTTATAGTGAAACTGATACGTTTTGAGTTTACAAAAGTACCCTTTTGGCATTTAAGGAAGATTCCTTTTTGTGCTTGTATAGATGCTTCATGTAGATGATGTGAGTGAGGAGTGAAATTACTATACTAGTGGTTCGGGACTTGAGAAGTGCGTGATATGAGAAAAGTATACTAAGATTGTACATTACTATTATTCTTCTGTTTTTTTTCAAAATTAACAGTGTTTTATTGCCCAATGGATATGTCTTTAATTGGTGATGCTTTTGTAGCACCTAAACACTCGGCTGCAGCTCCCCACAAAGAGTGTCTTTTTCAAACTTGTTTACAAAGACTTTTCATTTATGTTTCGGACAGGAAATTCTGGTTTAAAACAATTTTTTTTTTAATTTTTATGGATGGAGAGTTTTGTATTGTTTTATTATAAATAAATTTAACATACTCTTCAGCAGTTACTACTAATGTGGTCTAATTCAATTATCAAGTTAAAATTCTCACAAAAATACTCCTCAATACACTATGAAATAAGCAACATATTATTATATTTAAAATAAATTTTAAAGCAAAACTTTTTAAAATTAATAATAAAATCTTTTAATAAAAAAATATGTTTTAGAGACTAGTCTTAAAAAATAATTATATTTATATATTTTTAAAACAAATCTTTTAAAGTAAATTTTTAAAAAAATAAAAAATAATTTTTAAGTTATAAAACTTTTAAAAAAATATAAATATAAATATAAAATAATTTATTTTAAAAGAAACCTAAAACAAAAATTTTGATGATCCCACCCTTGACCTATCTTGCTATGAAATTCCATCACAATTTTGATGATATTTTTAAATATCCAAGTATTTTCATTTTGGGTAAATAGAATAGTTTAATGATTTTGAATACATTAAGAAATAGAGATAAAGAAAAGAATTTCTTAATAACAGTGCCAAAGCCATGGTACAGTAGAATATTTCTCCATATTTTTTTCCTATTGTCTTTACCTACACGTGCAAGCCAAAAAAACTGCTCTATGTGGTTCAGAATGCAAAAGGCAGTACTAAATTTCTTTAGCCAAAATATTGTTCATAGAGGCATCTATCTAGATGAGTCACGTACGAATCAGGATAAGGATTGGGGAGTAAACAAAGGCAAATTAATTAACTTTTGTCAGTAACATGTTCCAAGGGCATTATATCAGTGATATGTTGTAACATACATAGTTGACGTGAACAGAACATCCCCATAAACTCTTATGCGTGGCCAATAATCATGCGAAAAATCGAAAAAAACAATGAACTTAGTTAAGACAAGGGCCATAATGTGGTCCATCTAATAACAATTACCCTTCTGAAGCTATATGTACATTTTGTCATTATCGTGAAAATATTCCTTTGTCAACTTTAAACACAGGAAACATGCGATTCTTGATGGTGAAATAAAGTAACGTATTTTCCATTTTATAAATGAAGACGATGAAATAAAGTAACATATTTTCAATACTCTAAAGTATTGCCATGAAGGGTTGTTTGATATAAGTGGCACGCTTCATTAGATGAAAGGAATTAGATACTTGTCATCTCAATTCCCTTCATAATTTGGATTTCGGGTCATCTTTACTTTGTTTAAAATTCAGGTTTAATTTTGTGGATGAAGAATATTAGAGATGACATCATATGCTCAAAGCTTTAGCTACTAGCATTTCAATTTTCAAGCAATAAAGTCTAAATTAAAATAAAGGGTTCCTTCCTTGTAGTGGACAAACCAATTTCAAAGCAAAAATAAAATCTGGATATAAGAAAAGAAAATTCCTTCTCACTAATGTTGCGTTCTCTGTTTCCTTTGCAGAGGTTGGCCCACACCTATTAAATGTGTACGGCTATTTTTATAAATAAATGTAATTTATATCTCTTGGAATAGTATAGTATAGTATTTTCCTTCGTTAATATCTTTTTTCTCTACTCTTTACGCCTTTCGTATCGTACGTATACAATACCAAGAGGCTCTAAAGTCAACTCTAAGGTGGCGAGAGGAATACATTATTTACAGATATATGTAATCGGCATGCATTTTCCTAATAAAATATTAGTAGATCATTGATATAAGATTAATGAGTTTAAGTTTAAATGTTGAACATGCATATGTCTTAAATTTATTTTTCTTTTCTATGAATTCCTTCATAAACATATGTAATAACAGTTCCTCTGAGCCAAAAATATTGAGAGATCCTGTTGGGGCTACCCACAATAAAATGAATATTAAAGCTTGTACAAAGACATGTCACCCACTAAGGAATGTGCATGAATCATGTCAACTTAGATAACCTTTTCTATCGTGTATTTTCCTTCCAAATTAAATATAACCCTATCAAAGTTTTCTTTCCAAACCCAACACCATTATTAGTGGAGAAATATTTTATCCTTCTTCGAGAAAAGGGTAATTAGGTTCTTACGGCCTCCACTTCATTTCTGACTCATTCATGCTTCATCATTATATTAAAAAAAGTAAAGTAATAATAACATCTTTATCTTTACATTCCCCAGTAGTCGCGTCCACCAACCCACAGAGACCAATTTGAAACCAAATTTCAATTGCTTTTCAAAGTTTGCTAGAACATGATAAATATGCATAACTAGTTAGCAGTGTTAAATTATGAAGAAAAAAAAATAATTGTGAGCAAGTAGTAAGTACATGAGATATTTTGGTATACAGAAGAGATGTAAATTAAAAAAATTAATTATTAATTTAAATACAAACTGATAATGCAATATAAAATTTGTAATTATTTAATAGAAAATAAAATTATGCATAAATAAGTTTTACCTAAAAAAGTTCTTTACTTAACTAAAAAGAAACTAATCAATTTAAGTTATCGTAAGTGGTGAGAGAATTTTGTTATTTAATCAAGTGATTAAAATTTGAATACTAACTCTTTTATCACTTAATGAAGTGATTGGAGTTTGAATTAAGAGATGTAGGTTATGCATACTGAGAGAGAATGTTAACTTATTCCGTATGTGTTAAATCTTAAAAAGGAGTTACTCCTTGTTAATAATAATAATAATAAAAACTAGAAATGTATTATAACATGATTGTGATTGTTGCAAATTAGGAACATGTAGGTTATGATCTCACCGTACATATACTTTATTATGACTTTATCTCTAATCGATGTGAGATCTTTAATAGTTGTTCTAAATAATAAATTTTAATACATCTCTTCACATTTAATAAATCCTTAGAGTATCTGCAGTAGGGATTGCTTATAAGCAACCTCCTGTATTACATCAAATTTTTTTTTCTTTACTTTTCTTTTAAGTACTGGAGCTTCTATAAGTAATTTTGCTAAAATTTAAGTAACTCATAAATAATAAAAAGAATTGATGTAACATGACGTAGTACAGAAAATTGCTTATAAACAACCTCCAGTACTGTAGATGCTTATAAATAACTCGATCTAGAATAGATACCACTTAAATTTTTTCTATATATTCTTTTGTGTTTATATTAGACTTGATACGTATATAAACAATGAATAACCATTTTTAAAGTGAATCTTAATTACTTTCTAATTATATATATTATAACTTTATCTCCAATTGATGTTAGATATTCAACGGCTAAAAAATAAAGAAAGAAAAATAACAATGACTGAATTAAAGCTTGAAAAAAAAAATGTGAAAAGCATTAACCTAGAAAGGAATCTTTTGAGGCGTGGACGAGTCTCAACCAACAAGAGATTTTCATCGGTGCATATCAGTATAATTTAATTTAAACTTTCGGTATTTACTTTACATTTTAAAAAAAATAAACTTCTATACTCTTGTGCACATGATCGATTTCGCGTTCATTTTCAAAGCTTCGACATATATATATATATATATATATAT